CAAATTACATTCGATCACTTTTTTTTATATCTCATTTCACTCGACTAAGAAACCAATCACATTCTTATTCAATTTCATTCACACAGACAGACATGCACTACACAGTACACATAGTCAGGTAACATGACAAGGACAGGAAATCAAGAATTATAATCATGGTAATGATGGTATGGTTATTTTCAAGTTTCTTTTTTTTTACTTTATTTCTTTTCGTCTTTCAACTTTCTTTTTACATCGACTGAACAAGTTCAGAACTTCAGAGAGAGTTTTTAGTTACTTTGAGTATGTTAAAAAAAACTTTTACTGGAATCTTTAGAAATGCCGGGAGCTTCTGGGTAAGGTTTTACTTTCGTTTTTCTCCTCCCCAGTCCACGGTACACCCATGCATAGATCAATGCTGCCGCACATCCGCAAAGTTACAAGTGCCTAGAATCTTTTAAAGTATATATACAGTTTACATTGCTTCTAGATATCTAACTGAATAAAAATAGTCCACTTTCTACGTTAAGAAAAGTGACGAATTCAGTTAACAGCTTTGATTACGAGCGTGTCAGGTGTCACTGGTCGTGCCCTCACTCCCCACGGTAACCCCTGTGATATAAAAACTTATTGTTATGCGGTCATAAAAACACTAGGCTGCACTACATGCCACAATCGATTTCTTAGACTGTCGTGAGTTTTTGTTCGTGTGGCGAATCATGCGTTGAGGGAGTTCATGCAGCTCTAGATGTTTTAGATACCCCGTCTACGTTGTGGAACGGGTCGTATTATGCGCTCCCGTTTACAAGTCTGTTTAAACTGCCGTTGCGCTAACCCTAGTATGGGGGACCGGGAGTTTCGTAGAGATGGTGGCACGAGCAAAAACTTAGTGGGCTCGGGCATCCGGGTCGGAACTAATTTCGAACGCTGCCAGCGGCACGGGAGCGATTTTTTCTCGTATCTTCCAAAATTTCCGCTCTCGTAATTGTTGTTACCAGAGCGCTTTGAAAGCTGACAGGAAGCGAAATTGCTCGCTGCTCCCGTGTATTTTTTTCACTGCAGCCGGCACAGCAGTCCAACCCTTCTTTAATCATCAGCAAAACATTTTTAGCGGTATTATTATTAGATATCTTAAGTAGCGCAGCATATTTTTATCGAAAACCGAAAAAAACTCATGTCTCATTATTAATATTGCCCGTAGGCGTATTTTGCCGTATAAATAATAATTGCTCATACTTCAATTATTTAGCGAAGATATCCATCTACTCGCTGTTTTTATTTCTACAATACACACTATTCACTATCTACATGTACACACTATATATATATAGTATTAGTAGCCAGATACTTGTTCGCTAGTCCAATGATGTCATTTGCCTGATGCCATTTGATGTTCCGATAGTCATGTACGATAGTCATGTCATCGGAATCGCCTAAATGCAATATCGTGACCTTGTATGTCTGCTTTTATACTTATCTACAGCTGTTATAAATGCAATATCGTGACCTTGTATGTCTGCTTTTATACTTACACCAAATCCACCAAAATCGTCGGTGTGGACATTGGTCAGAGGAATCTCGGACTATGTCTGAGGCTGAGTCACTCAACAGCTCGCTTAGTGTCTATATAGTGACTTAAGGCCACTTCTGCCGTTCTGGCCCTTCCTCAGTGCCTGGTGATACATCCGGCCAGCCTAAAAATTACTTTTTTTACGAGAGCTCTTTTTTTTATTTTGTATGAAAAAAAGAGCTCTCGTAATTTTTTTTATGGGAGCTATTTTAGGCTTGGCCAGAGCTAGTTTTTCATAGCATGATTTTGTTAAAATGTTCATAATTTTGATGCACTGACTCTAATATCATTCATCAGCACTCAGCACCAGTATCAGACCAGGCGCGGCGTCACGGGGGGTGCAGGGGGAGGGGCGGTCGCCCCCCTACGATTTAAAAAAAAGGGGAAAAAAGAAAGAAAGAAAGAAAAAGAAATAAAAGAAAGAGAAAAAGAAACTGGTTCGACGGGCCTGAAAGCTGTTGTTGTGCGGGGGAGGGGGAGGATTCGGCCTGAATCCCAGCTCTTGCTAATTCTAATTATTAAAACCCTTTCATTGCGGGCTCAGACTGCGGGTACCGGCCGCGTCTATTTTTTCCGTACCACTAATGCGTAACGCTGTTTTATGGTGCCTTGTGACCCTAAACCTAAGGACGTGGATATTTGTCCGAGCAAAATATACACACAAGTACAAACAGTCAACCTAACCCAACCCTAACCGTAACACTAACTCTAAACCGACTCGGCTATTTTATATACGCATGTCATAGTACCCAAATCAATCTATGGTGTATAACCTTTCGTAGTGATGCGCAACGATGCTCGGACGAATATCCACGTCGCTAACCCTAACCCTAACCCTAACGCCTCTCTTGTATGTAAACCATATGGCTCTAGCTGTCTACAGGAGTGCTGGGGGATGTGATAGTTGTCCTCATTTTCGTTTGTATGATTGCGTTCAACACTCGATGAAAGCAGCGACACGTACACGTGTGTGCGTGCGTACGTACACGGGCATGCGTGTGTGCGTGTGCACGTACACGTGCGTGCGTGTGCACGTACACGTGCGTGTGTGCGTGTGCACGTACACGTGCGTGCGTGTGCACGTACACGTGCGTACGTGCGTGCATGTGCACGCGCGTGCGTGTGTGTGCACGCATTCTAGCGCGATTCCGATGACATGACTTCGTACATGACTATCGGAACATCAAATTGCATTCAGCGGCAATGACGACACTTGGACTAGCGAACAAGTATCCTGGCTACTAATACTATATATATATAGTGTGTAATTGAGGAAATTTAGTGAATAGTCGTGTATTGTAGAAATAAAACAGCGAGGTAGATGGATATTCTTTCGCAAATTGAGTGATGAGCAATTATGTATTTTATCGGCCAACATACCGCCTACGAGGCAATATTATTAATGAGACATGAAGTTTTTTTTTTCGGTTCTTCGGATAAAAATATGGCTGCGCTACTTAAGATACAATACATAATACCGCTAAAAATGTTGGTTGTGATGTATGTTTCTTAAAGAAGGTATGGGACTGCTGTTGCCGGCTTGCCCATCCCCCTCACCACACACCCCGTCCCCAAACGGCTTCCGTTGCAAAAAGATTACACGGGAGCATGCGAGCAATTTCGCTTCCTGTTTCGCTTTCCGCAAGCGCGCTGGTAACAACAGATTACGAGAGTCCTAGGGAAACTTTTGGAAGATATCGAGAAAAAATCCGCTCCCTGTGCCGCTGGCCCAGGCGGCGTCTGTCGAAATTAGTTCCGACCCGAATGCGGCCGAGGCCCACTAAATTTTTGCTCGTGCACCCTCTTACGAATCACTTCCGCATACTAGGGTTAGCGCAACGGCCCCAGTTTAAACAGACTTGTTAATACAGACGGGAGCGCATATTACGACCCGTTCCACAACGTAGAACCGGGTAATCTAAAACATTCTAGACTGCATGAACTCCCCTCAAGATGATTCGCACACGAACAAAAAACTCACGACAGTCTAAGAAACTGATTGTGGATGTAGTGCAGCCTGAGTGTTTTTGGGGTGTGTGAGTTTTTTTTTTTCTATGACCGGTCATAACAATAAGTATTATATCACCAGGGTTACGTGTGCTATGCTTCCGGGAGTGAGCGGCACGACCAGTGACACTCTGACACGCCATCCTAATTCCTAAAGCTGTTAAGCTGAATTCTCACTTTCTTAACGTAGGAAAGTGGACTATTTTCTCATTCAGTTAGATATCGTAGAAGCAATTAACCTGTATAATATACTTTAAAAGATTCCTAGGCACTTAGTAACCTTTGCGGTATGTGCGGCAGCATTTGATCTATGCATGGTTACCGTGGACCTGGGGAGCGAGAAAAACGGAAAGTTGAAAACCTTACCCAGAAGCTGCCCGGCATATTCAAAAGATTCCAGTAAAAGTTTGTTTTTTTTTTAACATATCTTTCAACCTTTCAAAAGTAACTTAAAAATCTCTCTGAAGTTCTAACTTTTTCAGTCGATTATCTGTTGAAAAAGATAAGTTGAAAGACGCAAAAAAATAAAGCTAAAAAAAAGAACTCTGAAATAACCATACCACTCCATTACCATGATTTTATAATTCTTGACTTCTGTTTGCATGTTACCTGACTATCGTCTGCTACTGTTAGTGCATGTCTGTCTGTCCTCCCTCGCTGATGGTTCCGTGAGCGGGTGGTGGAAAGAAATGAATAAGAATGTGATTCGGTTTCTAGGAGTTGTTTGAAATAGACATAAAAAAGAGAAAAGTGATCGAATGTGAATTCTAGTAGTCTAGGACCAATAGTCGGATACCCATGGGCCGCCGGTCTATGTGCATGCTAGGGCATGACAGGGTCCAGACAGAAGCACGCGAGGGG